GAACCAAATTTGAGACGATGAAAGGTGTCTAGTGCCTTGAATCTCAAACTTTGTTGTAGTGGACAAGGAATGTTTCAACTGACTTCATCGCAAGAGGCTGCTGAAGAATGCAGGCAAATCTGCTTAGCTCTCACAAAAGCCTCCCTAGCTTCAGGGCTCAAATCCCTACTCGGTTCTGCAGCTTCATTTTTTCTATTTCTTAGGGACAAACTATTTTGTGATTCTCCCGTTACCTAAAATCAACAAGGTTATGTACGCGCTGATTGCAAAGTGTCTTTGTGCTTCGATTAGAACTTACTACCTTGCGAGGCAGGGTAGAAAGCACCCTACAATAGAAATGACACATGCACAAAACAAATTTTGTTTTTACCTCCAGCCTGAGCGGCCTCCTCGCGAAGGGAAGCGGTAAGTTGATACCCGACAACGTTTTGCGACTGTTCTCGGCTACAGCGGCTGCGCTTAACAGCTCACTTGCCATTCGAATCGGATCGAGCTAAGCGAATACTCAAAGGAATTTTTATGAAGTTTATTTGGTAAATTCTTACTCTTTCGAAGTCAGGAAGTTTGAAGTTGGACTGAAAATTGTTGTCGGTATCACTGTAATGGAAAATTCCTTGTGGACCACCAGAATTTGATGTAGAAGCGATGTTTTCTGAAATGTTGTTTATTTCTTATAAAATATCAAGCAGTTAAACGCCTAAAGCAGCATTTTATCTAAAATGCAGACTTGCACAAGCAAAACTGTATGTAATTTTCTCAAAATTTTTTATTCTTCATTTCCCGTTATAGTGTAGTGAACCCGCAGAAGAATGCGAAAAATTATCAGCACTGTACCCGTCGAGCAAGCAAGTTCAAAATGCAATTAGTAAAGGGCAGAGCAGCAAAGAAAAAGGGTGCGATAATCATTTCCAACCTGCTGAGTCGTGTCCCAATGGGGGAAGCGTATATCGTACTTGAGATGAAGCAAGAGACACTAAATAGTTCATACGAGCAATTGTTTAAGAGGGCGCAATGAAAACTTAAAACTTACTGATTTCAAGAAGTAGTAATGAACTAATAAAACCTTTGTATTGCATTTACATAAATCGAGATTCCATAATTGCAGCGCTACACATGTAAATGAATAGCCGCTACCTGGAATAGAATTGCAATAGAATGAAGTTGTTTATCAGCGATGGTTTCGAAAGCAAGACTTAGTAAATGCAGAGAAAAAAGTTCAAGTATTAGTCAATCCCCTATTTGAAAAGCTATAACAGAAGCAGAAACATCCACGACAAAATGCTGTCATCAGCGGTAGTACCCCGCTAGAATGATTTCCATGGATTGAAGGAGTCGAGCATGTACATGGAAGTAGGAAGTCATGTTTGAAAAAGCTTAATTCTGAGAAAACAACCTTATCATTCCCTTCTAGCAGTCATAAAGTTTTGTATTTGAAAAGCCCTAAGTTAAAGAGATCAGATAAATCCTTACATAGGCCTTTTTTTGCTATTAAAGCTCCAAAAGACTCATAAGCATATGGTAGCGCTGACTAACTCTTTTACAATTGCTAGCAGCGAGATTGTTGGTCAACAAATTAATGATGATGTTGAACTGAGTTCGTTCAAGGTGAGATGTATATTGGCAAAGAGGATTTAATCATTCTCAAATCAAGTTTCATAACTGCAAAAGATTTCCTTATAAGAGCGAGTTTTGAACGAAAATTCGGCTTGGCCTAGTGCACTAACAACTTTAGCATAATTTGTTTCCAGATGATGCGCGTTCGTTTTCAGCCTTCCGACGTGTCACATTTTTGTGTTCCGTGCAATTATGTTAAACGTAATGTTTGAGACGAAATTTACTTAACATTTGAGGACTTTCAAACATCTGAACTTATTTGCGAGCGTTTCAGAAAGTTGAGAATTCAAAAAGGCTATTGTACACTCGCTCCAAAAATATTAAACTTTTTATGTTTCTGAAACTTTGCCCACAAGTAGTTATTTGATATTCTTATCACAAGAGTCTATATGTCTAGTTCGTACAGGGCTTATTTTAAAGCTACGGAAGGTGTCCCCTCAAATACATCCTTAAATAAATGATCAACCCCTTTACTTATAATTGCGCGGTTTGAGCTAGCTAAAGAAAGACGCACACTTTGATTTTCTGGTGAACGCGTCAGACATTCTGCCAGAACACTTTTTGCAAGTCTGTAATAACGACCTTTTATTGCATACCTCCTTGGCCTTAAAATAAAGTATTGTTGAATACGTTTTTGGGATTAGGATATCAAATATCCTACGGCATTTCAACATATCTAAGGTTTTGGAACTTTGGGGCACTGAATGTGTAGTAGCGCCTTTTCAAATTTTCAAACTCCCTTAAGCAATTGAATATTGAACAGTGCTTCCATTCTCTCAGTCTTGCTCCAAGCATACGTGTTGGATTCAGATATCTGCACAAAATAAGAGTGATCTCGAGAAAATCAAGTTCATCATCTTGAAACACAAAAGGCTTACCAGACCAATTAAGTTCGCACTCAAATTCCAGGTATGCTAAGCCACTTCGATCCCATTAAAACTCGCTCTTTCAATTTCCGTCCCAGAATCGTATCTCAGATATGGTTATAGATTTAATACCATAATAAACCCTCGTCAATAACATACATCCCATCTCAAATGTACGCAACGTCTAACATCATTCTCTTATAAGTTTGGCATGACCAACGATTTCCCAGTGCACGATAGCGTGCGACGATTCCGGAAACTTCAGCTGTATAACGTATTTTTGCGCTACTATTGGGGATGAACGTCTTTAAAAAGAATATCCACAAATTATAAAATTATTGGAATCAGTGAGAAAAGAACTAATTTCAATATTATCACCCAATAAATTGGCACAGACAAATGAGAGAGATGAATATTGAATGCATCACCCAGATGTCGCTTGCGACCTATTTCATCCCAACGAGTCCATTAATTATAACTACGCACAATCGATTGCAACAATTCAATTAACAGTAATATCGAATGAAAACCGGATACTGGCAAATTTGCAGTCTATTCTTTGAACAGCGCGAAGTTTGTAAATTAGGGAGTTGACTAGTAGGAGATGTAGGAGCACGATCGTAGGAAAATTACGCAAAATGCAATAATTTTAAAAGGCAAAACCAGAGATACCAAGCAATTAGAAAGATAAAGCATTGAGGAGGTATGCCAATTCAAATTAGAGAAAAGATTGTTTGAATTGTTAATCTCTCCACGCTCTTCTCTATATCCTCTCAATAGTTTGCATGACATAAAACAATACAGTCCTCTAATATATTTGAAGGAAATCCTATCCTCTATATATTTAATGAAATAAAATGAACCTGACCTTTATGCTGATTACTGTAGTGTGAAAACGTTAATTAGCTGTACATGAGCTGCGACAGCGAGTGGCACCTATGGAGCAGAGTAGGTAGCGAGTGAAAGTCCGAAATCTCTCAGCCCTATAGGTGAAGTGCCAGCGAGTTGTACTTAAGGTTTGAAAATAATGATTCTAGGAGTCCTGTTCAAATAACATTCTTATTTTAATTCGATAACATAATTATCACTGATTTTACTGAGAGAATAAGGACAAACTCTGAAATAAACTTCTTTGGAGCGTTCAATATTAAAAAAACATTGATAGAAAAAGGGCAATGAAAGAAAGTCTGTACCGATGAGCGCGTGATGTCGCAATGAAAGAGAACGTACGTGACGCCCTTTTGTCTGATTGAAATTCAGAGATCAGCGCAACTTACAGCTGTTTCCTGCAGTTTTCTGACAAAGTTCTAATATTTTGGAGAATTTTAAAAGTACTAAAGTAGAAGAGCATCCATTTGGGGATACACCGGAATCAACCACTTACCAAAACAGAGAAAGATAAAGCAAAACTTTTCATTCCTTCCAGCTTCTTTCAGGCGCTTGATTTTTTCCTGTAGTCTTAATACTTAAAAAAAGGATCTGCTACTTGAGGAAGACTCAAGGATAAGATTGGATGAGTAAAAGGTTCAAGTTGGGTATGACTGCTTATTGAAGGATGGCAAAAAATAGCAGCTGAATTAACCACTGAAATCTAGACGTCTAAGATTTTCAGGACATATTGATATAAAAGACACGAAGCTATCAAGTAAACGATCCGAATGCTGAGATTAGGAAAGTTGTGCTTCCGGGCGAAGTTCGGTACATGAATGATAATTAATAATGACCTCGGGCAGCTATACAATTGCAAACTTGCCTTAAAAGTTTGAGTTTGCATAGAAGGCAAGTATGAAAACTATAATGAACCATGCAAACGCTCTAGAACAAATATGGACAACTGTCACTTGTATCATTGGAACACTCTCTACTAAATTATTCTCGTTGTAACTTGATGGGAACATTAATTCTTTTCAACCATGAGTATTTATTTGTTTTGATTTCCATAATCAACTTCTGTAAAAACTGCAAATAAAAAAGTCTCAACCTTCTAAAAAAATCTTTATGGTATTTTATGCTTATTAAGTAGTAAGTAGCCATTGCTGGATACTATGTTAGATGAATTTTTCAAAGACTCCAGTCTCTCACTTTCACCGCTACAAACACTGATTGCCGTTCTATACATGTTACGAAT